TGTGGTTGGTCTACTCGGGTTCGTCTATCGTGACTTAGAATCTATTATGTCGGAGCCTCTACTCAAGAGGCATCATATGTCTACAGCCACCATACGAGTTAGGCCTCTAGGGGATACTTTATTCTACTCCTGTCTACGCATGTCGGCTATGATCAAGAACAGTCTACTACCCTGTATATTCTATAAGATCGACGATAATCACTCTATATGTGATCTATTGGCATTGGACCCTAGTTCTAGAGATTATATGGCCCTAGGAAATCGCATTGGAGCAGCGATTCATGGCGTCATCACTTCCAATGCTTGGGCTCTAGACTTGGTTCGTATAAACGAGTCTAATCCCGACATTATACATATTCTAGAAGTATCTACGGAGAAGTATTATGATGCCTAAGTATCTATGGGGTTAAGTATCTATGATAAGTAAGTATCTATGACGATTAAGTATCTATGATGATTAAGTATCTATGATGATTAAGTATCTATTTTATTTGATTTAGCATATTAGATTATGCTTCTAGATATTGCTATTCGAACAACCTTCTAGTCTATCTTGTTAGTTAACTAAGATATTCTAATGTGTTAAATGAATCTACTAGAAGTATCTAGTATTCATTTGCGGGGTATGTGCTGTCCCATCGTGGCAGCGCGACAAAGATCTCGCTCGCCTCGTATTCTATTGTTGAACTATAATATTATTATTCTCGCTCGGATGCATCTATCTAACGGTTTTGGATACTAGAAACGGTTAGATCCGTCTCTGGTTCTCTCTAAGCTACTTAAAGCTAGGAAGCTAGTATTCTAGTGGTAATTGTTAGACTGGACTGAGTCCAGTGATTGATTGTGTGATCTGCTACCTCATCCTAACTCTAGTTCTACTTGAGTTAACCAGTCCTCACTAGTATCGCATCGTAATCTCTATTGCCTCACCTGATCGTGTTACAAGCTACACGGGATGTTACTTAGATCTGGAATGAAATTGTCGAACCGTGATCGCTGTGCATTTCCTCATGATTCAACAGGTTTAACTCCCTCTACACCTCCGTCTAACGACGCGACTGAACCACCAAGAAGTACATCTACTTCAAGACCACTACTGATTTCTTCTAGTTCTACTCTAAGTCGTCCCGTACATTGCGATCCTAGGGCGTGCGCTTTTGTCATTGCAACAGCGTGCAACCGTTCATACAGGATTGGGAAGAGCTCAATGATGGCTTTCAAATGATGCTTTTGTTGTTCATCAAGTGTCACGTGCCGCAAAATTACGAGGGGTGGACACTTTCTCGGCACCATCCTGTATCGCTAGGTTCCAGGGCCGAGTTTCATTTATAAATTATGAAACATAATGGGCTTCTCAGAGAGTGGTCGATTTGAAATATCCAAATTGAAAGAATCAGTAGGATGTTACGTAGATCCAGTTACTGAACAGAACAAGACAAACTGTAAGAAGCTGAGGACTTGTATCAAAATATATCAAAAAAACCCGTAAGCTATATGCGGCATGGAAGGTATGCTCAACTATAGAGCATAATCAAACTTCAACATATGATCTGATCTTAGACTCGGCAGGACAATACTCATAGATAACGGGAACTGTGGTGTGGTTAGATTAGAACGATGTCTTGAAGATAATAAGTCAAACTTCAGAACTGGTTCCGCTCTTAAACGACCATATCTCTGCACTCGTGACACTTACATCCACAGCAAACCTGGAATGTGCATTTACAGCTAGAAGGACATTTGTCACAGAAGTCCCCGCAGAAATGCACGTTCGACAGAC